ATTAAAGGACAACCCCTCACAGGCAGGAGTTCATAACTCACTCAGGATTAAGATCGAGTCGCATATGATCGTCATGTGAAATATTAATCTTCTCAATTAACGAATTTATAAAGAGAGATCAAATATTTCTTGATCCAGTCTTATACAACCTCATTGTATATGATACCCCCACTTACATGTCTCCACATGAATAATTTGGATCAAATCATTTCTAACGATTACAAAATGGGCCGTATCAATAATGTTACGAGGATAAGACACCTAATCTTATCCATATACTATAGACTTAGGTTATTACTTGAACACGATCCTCTTGTATGTCAACCACATACTGTTCAAGATTACATTAATAACCTTGGATTTTCATACAAATGATTACAATTAAATTACAAATAAAATAATAAAAATTATTATTAAAAACTAAATAATTAATTATGAGGCTTTAGTGCATAAATCCCTATAATATATATGAGACAATATTATCGTTTATCCTTAAATCTCTATTTTTAAGACATACAGAATTATCCCAAATCATTTGTTTGAAATTGGGTAGGTAGTCATCTATTTACGTTAGATTGAAAGATTACACATAATGAGTAATATGTCATCAGCATAAATAATAAAAAAAAAAAAACAATTTTTTTTTTTTTTTGAGAAAATCGACTAATGAATTAGTAATTTTCTTGTTTTCACAAGCTCATTACAATTTATTTTAAAGGATAGATTATCAAACCTTCTATTAACAAATCTATAGGTTAAATTCATTTAAAAAACGAACTTTTTACTCCTTTAGCAAACATTTTGCTTTTGATTTTTAATAATAAATCCATATACTAATATGTAGTCTTAGATTTAGATTTTTTTTTACGGAAGAATTCTAAATATTCATTTAACATATTTCATATATGTAAAAATGAATTAGAGACTAATAATAGACTCTAGAATGACATGAGAGAAAATCTACTTGGATTTTGCATTCTGCCGACCACTTGGGTCAGAATGCATGAGAGCCCAAAATTCTCTTTGGTCTTGTAGCCTTATTCAATAAAAAGTCAAATGATTATCTTGGATAAAAAGTAAGATCCATAGACATGTAATTAACTCTAACATTTAGAGATTACTTTTTGCTGTCTTTTCATTCTATTCAATTTTGAAAATATAAACTTTTATAGCAACCAGTTGTTTTGATCATATCAACTATCCAGGTGGTGTCATCTAGTCTTCACCAAGAATCTAGTAAATCAAATTTACTTTCATTTAGATTTTTCTTTCTATAGAGTAATTTTGAAAATTTCTCTCACTATGACGGTCATGGCTAATTAAGAACTATTTCCTATCATAGCTTTAGTCGTAAGATTTTCCTTGAATTTTGTAATACTTAATTTCAAGATCATTTAGATAAGTGTCTAAATTTAGCTCTTATTGACATAAACATTTCACATGTTTTTGTCATTTATCTTTATCTTTTAGTCATGACATCCAACATGTCAACTAGAAGATATGAACAAAGCTTTCTCATCACCTTTGATTCTTCAATCATGCGTTATTCGAATAATTCAATCCACATTGACAATAAATCTTAAAACAATTTATTCTCTAGAAAATACAACGGTGTTACGCGTTAAATACAAAATACTGAAATTTAGAGAAAATAAAAGCAATACAAAATAATTTAAGACAATGAAATGCATAACAACCTATTCTAACATAAACCTAAAAATTTAAATGTGAACATACCTTATACACGTGCCACAGTCTCTGCTCGCAATGCTGCTGTCCTCCGTATAAGTGTGTTTTGCCTTTACCTGAAAAATGATGTGGCACACGACCTGAGTATTTCGAAAAGTACTCAGTAAGTGGCCCCACTATAGAGGCCATGCAAATGCAAACACATGCAATCATGATTTAGGGACCTATCTCTAACATCATAGGGGTGGCCTCCAGTCTCGGACAAATTGGATGTGTAATACTTCCATACACACGACTCACAGATACGAGTGTGAATCCTTAGGGTTCTCGCACACCCCCTGGACCCTCTTGTCAAGCTAATCTATAGCGACGTCCGGAGGTCAGTGGAACGTCATAGTGTCATACACCTCATGAACACCCTCATCTGTGCGCATTCACACTCATCATCATACGGTGCGCGTCCGCACCCATCATCTCTAGGGGAAGTAGCCCTATGCTTATGAACATACAATATGCATGAGGTTCCTCTAAATCCATCATAATATCTCTTTTGACACAACCCTCTAGTCTTATATCTTTGGTACTCTAGGTAACAAATTCTCGTGGATATTTATATTAATATCATTTTCATGTTCTTAGAGTTATGTCCTATGTCGATCTAACCACATGATACAATATGACACTCATCATCATATAGCATGCTCAATATAAAAAGTATCATCACATTAAGGTAAACGTTATGCAATCATTATACTCATCATATTGCCATAAAGTGCATCAAGCATATCAAGTACGTCATTCATCAAAATATATATATACTACGCACATCATCAAGTATCATAGCTCACACATCATTGTAACTCATACATCGTCATACACTCATACATCGTCATACACTCATACATCATCATATTAGTATACGACATCATACGATACAGCTCATACATCATCATATTAGTATACGACATCATACGATACAGCTCATACATCATCATAACTCATACATCATCACATACTAACATACGACATCGTCGACACAATTCATACATCATCATAACTCATACAATTTTTAGTCTATCCTATAGAAATGCCACTTACTCGTTGATCTTAGCTGGAGTACTCCCTAATTTAATTAACGTAAGCTCCCGTTCCTCGATAACTGCTTTAAAGGTTGTCAGGGCTCGCTTCCTGTTGATTCTATTTTTCTTTTCTTTCCTAAAAATAAGATGAATCAATCATTTTTTTTTCTTCTATTTGCAATACTTCCATTTTCAATCAACTCTTTCTTAAAAAAAATGGCTATGCAATTAAATGAAGCCATTTTAAATTGATTCTAATTTTCTTTTCTTTTCTAAAAATGGCGACCTTATTTGATTTCTAAGTAACTAATGACAACAAATAAATATGAAAAAAAGGAAAAGGTAAAATCTGACATTTTCAAATTACATCTCTCCTTCTATTATCGTAAACTTTCTTTCTGTTTTTGTTTTGGTTCGCACAAGAGGTGAAGAGTTGGTTGAGTATTCTAGGAGAAAAGTCATGTGAGAGTTTAGAGGAGAGATGAGATTACTTGTATTATTATTTTTTTAAAATTTCCAATTGTTACAAGCAACCTTCGGGTATTACATCAAACGTCTAAATCAAATGTTAAAAGACATGCTATGTGCCTATGTGTTGAATTTTTCAAGATGAACTCCAAGTTTCACCTCATAAATTTCGCCTATAATAATAGTTTTCTGGCAATCATTGACATGACTTTGTTCAAGGTTCTTTATATGGTTCTTTATAGGGAACAATGCAAGTTCCAAGTATACTAGGACGAAATGGGTGAACTCGAGTTGTTAGAACTAGAGTTGGTTTAAGCTACCAATGAAATCGAAGATTAAGATGAGGATGCTTACAGTCGAGAGTAGACAGAAAAGTTACTTCCAAGTAAAATGTAGAAGCTTAGAGTTTGAAGGAGGTGACAAGGTATTCTTGAAGGCGTTGATGAAAGAAGTTTTGAAGTTTAGATATAAAGGCAAGTTAAGCCCATGCTTCATTGAGCCCTCCAAAATTCTAGACCGGATCAAATCATAGCGTGTTGATTGGCTCTACCATCATCCCTTTCTATATGCATAACGTGTTCCACATATCTATGCTCTATAACTACATGACCATCCATACCAATGTGATAGACTATGAACCTTTGCAGTTAGACGAAAGCCTGAGCTATGAGAAAAGACTTGTACAGATTTTAGCCCAAGAAGCAAAGACCTTATGACTAGAGAGAGTACATTCATTAAGGTACTTCGGCAAAACCATTAGTTAGAGGAGGCAACATGAGAACGGGGGAAGTACTTATGGAGAAGTTCCCTGAGTTATTCCAACTTTAAGATACTTTCGAAGAGGAAAGTTCTTTTAAAATGTGTATAGTTCTTTGTGTATAGTATTATTATATTTTTTTTAAAAAGAAAAAAAAAATCTTTGATCGACTTCCTTAGCTTGGGTAGACTTTAGCTAGCTTGGTTGACTTATTTTGACCATTTCAAACTATGTTGAATTTGTTTATAATGTAATTAAGGCCAAAAAAAAAAAAAAAAAATGTTAGTATAGCTAGTGATTTGGACTTTTAATAATATGTAACACTATTTCATATATTTAAGTTAAATGCTCCACGAATAAATTCTAAGCTTGATTTTTTGAATGAATGGAATACCATAGATCAACCTAAATTGGAATGAATTTAGGTAGTACCAAGTTGAGCCTAAAACAGTAAGTTTGCTTCCTATTGGAACGTTTACAAGCTAGGTTGGATGAAATTGTTTGACGCATGAATAACACATACTTTATAGCCCCATTACACGTTATTATTTACATTATGATATCCAAATGAACTTTGTGATGTATATACTCCTTTTATGTTGATTATGGTTCTTATGCTAACATGATCACATTTTTATGCCTTAAAGAATGCTACAATATTGCAAGTATAATAAACATGAATGAAATATCATGAATATATTTATACGTCTCATAAGAAATTTTCCTATATTCTAAGAATGGTGTCACTAGTCTTTTTAAACAATTTTTGTTGTACAAGAGCGTTATGACATACATGTAACAGCGGTCATCTTACTTTTTTTATTTTTTATTTTCTATTTTTTATAAAGAAAAGTAATATCGTTACATTATCGGGCTCAAGTTTCTTATTCGAACTCCATGTCCATCAAACGTTCATTAGCAAGTAATGATAATTTGAACATGAACAATGATGAATTTAATTCTTAAAACCTCCTTAGTAACAAGGATGTAAAATCACTACAATTCCAAGGTCCAAAGCATAATTATATACGTTAAATCAATAGCAAAAGATTGGATTAGAGGTCTCAAAATTTACTTGGATTAGAGGAAAAATGAATGTTACAAAACTTAATTGTCCTCAACATGATACATTACGCAAGCCTGTGATAATAATAGTTCCCCTTCCAATGGCTATATTTGTTAGCTGCATTATGAAGTTGTAGAGCTTAAAATCCTGATAAAAGTGAAAGATCAGCTATGCCTCTTGGAAGATCTGCAATTTTTTTGAGAAGGGCCAGCCTATTTTTACGGATCTTTTCATCGTCCTGTCATTGAATGAACACGAGATTTATGAACAAAAACATGTTTGAGTTATTTGGTAAACTTTCGTAACATTTATGCTGAACCAATGCGGTAGCAAATCTGAAAACGATAGAAGATTATGGGCAGACGGGAACATACCACCATGACAAAGACATGCTCAAAGAAATCTTCAAGTGGTTGTATGAGGTTTGAAGATATTTCAAAGAACTCGTCAACCTCAATGCCTGGATGAACTTGGTTTTTGATTGATAAAAACGTATTCCATAGACCTCTTTCTTCATTTGATTCAAAGGCAGCCTCATCAACCTTAACAGATAATAAACAAGTACAAAGAGAAACATGGAATGGTTGATAAATTAGAACAACCTTAACATTTTCATTATGAACAGAGAATTGTAATGAGGTACCTCCATAGCATTGTCAACATCCTTCCCAGAAATGATTCTTGTTGGACGTGCATATGCCTCCACGATTTTCGGGAACAGATCGCCTTTCGACATAGCATTTATCTAAATCATTCCATAACAACACCATTTAAGCAAAAAAATGATCACGAAAAAGAAAAAAAAGACTGATTATAGTCCTCTTTGGGCTTCGTCTCAATATTTTTAAAATGCGTTTACTAATTAGAGGTTTCTACATCCTTATAAAGAATGTTTCGTTCTCCGCCCCAATTGATATAGGATCTCACATAATAATATAATAACAAAGAATGGATGAACGAATATATACTTTATGAGCCGTCTTCGCTGCTAGACATGGAAAATTTGAACGCTCTGCAAGAACTGAACGAACTATTTCTGAATTCAAACCCTTATCCACCTGCAAATGAATCATAAAAGAAACAACTTTTATGTCTTACTAGTAGGATGCATCGGTACGAGATTGTTTCGTTTGAAGACTACACTTACCAGAAATTGTTCGAGCCTTCGAGTAACAAATAGATTTACCTGAAAAGGATAAACTTTAGAAATATGGTCATGATTCATGACGCTTATTGAATTACAGTAAGAGATTAAGCATGAATTATTTAAGCATTTATATTATTTGTACAGCACAAAATGTACAAGTTGGACATAGAACTTCTACATATAGGAGAAACAAGTAACAATAGGAGCATGATGAAAGAAGTTACGGCTAATTCTTCTTTTCTTTTTTGGACCAAAAAACCTGGCAGTGTATTAAGGAAAGGATATAACTTAGGAGTAGGGGGAAGAGGGATATAAGAGAATTGTTGTGTGATCCCAAATCGGTTGGAGAGGGAAACGAAACATTCTTTATAAGGGTGTGGAAACCTCTCCCTAGCAGACGCGTTTTAAAAACGTTGAGGGGAAACCCGAAAGAGAAAACCCAAAGAGGACAATATCTACTACTAGAGGGTTTGGGCTATTACAAATGGTATCAGAGCCAGACATTGAGAAGTGTGCTAGCGAGGGCACTGACCCCCGAGGGGGGGGAGGGAGGGAGAAGGAGGGTGGACATCAGACAGTGTGCCAACGAGGACGCTAGGCCCCAAAGAGGGTAGATTGTGAGATTCCACATTGATTGAAGAGAGGAGAACGAGTGTCAGTGAGGACGCCGGGCCCCTAAGGAGGTGGATTGTGAGATTCCACGTTGATTGGAGAGGCGAGTGTCAGTGAGGATGTTTGGTCCCAAAGGGGGGTGGATTGTGAGATCCCACCTCGGTTAGAGAAGGAAACAAAACATTTTTTATAAGGGTGTGAAAACCTCTCCCTAGCAGACACGTTTTAAAAACCTTGAAGGAAAGCCCGAAAGGGAAAACTCAAAGAGAACAATATCTGCGGCCGGTGGGGTTGGGCTGTTATAGTTATCGTTGCTAAGACACCACCCAGATGCATTGGTATAAAAATGCTTGGTCAGGGATAATTGCTACAAAAAAACACGGCTACAGGTAATTGCCCCTATTTGATATCACCATTTAACCTTTTATTCTTCTCATTATGAAAGGAATACGTTGATCCAACTTTCACAGATCTAAAATATAAAACTGCTTCTCACATTATCAATAACGTTGCTATCAACTTTAATGGGTTGGGTATCAGCTGCCAGTCTCAGTGCTCGCTCTAGATCAAGATTCTTATCCTTCTCCACCAATATTTGGACCTACAAATAGCCATTGCCAACTCACTTATTCAACTGTAATTGTGGTCTCCTTTGAACATTTTAAAATAACTTACAAGGCCATAAGAAATTCTCCGCAAGCCAAATGGATCACTGGTAGAACTAGGCTGACAGCCAACAGCAAATAAGCCAACAAGGCTATCTAATCTGTAGAGCACATAAAAATAGAGAACCTTAAAGCAATAAATTACTAAGATAGTAAAAAAGGGAAATTTAGATGAAGTTTGGGCGTAGTTGACCTGTCAGCAACAGCCAAAACTATGCCAACACCACTCTTTGGAAGAATATCACCAGAAAATCTGGGAAGTGTAATCTCAAACAAGGCTTCTGCTATCTGGAAAAACATCACAAAAACAGGGAATCCAGGTCAAAATCATAATTGACAAGAGTTATAATAAGAAAAATATTAGACTCAAAGATAGAGTGGTTAATTGTTTAACTCACTAGATAATTAGGCATGCAGTATTTTTTTGTACGAATACTAACTAGATAATCAGGCAAGGTTTTTAAAACGCGTCAGCTAGGTAGGAAGAGGTTTCCACAACCTTATAAAAAAATGCATTGTTCTCCTGCCTAACCGACATGGGATCTCACAATCCACCCCCTTTGGGGCCCAACGTCCTTGGTGACATTTGTTCCCTTCTCCAATCGATGTGGGCCCCCAATCCACCCCCTTCGAGGCCCAGTGTCCTTGCTGGCACACTGCCTCGTGTCCACCCCCTCCAGGGCTCAGCCTTCTCGTTGGCACATCGCCTGGTGTCTGGTTCTGATACTATTTGTGACAGCTCAAGCCCACCGCTAGTAGATACTGTCCTCTTTGACTTTCCCTTTCGGGCTTCCCCTCAAAAGTTTTAAAATGCGTATGCTAGAGAGAGGTTTCCACATTGTTATAAAGAATGTTTCGTTCCACTCTTCAACCGATGTGGGACCTCACAATCCACCCCCTTCGGGACACAATGTTCTCACTGGCACTCGTTCCCTTCTCTAATCGATGTCGTTTCCCTTTGCAATCGATGTGGGATCTCACAATCCTCCCCTCTTCAGGGCCCAGCGTTCTCACTGGCACACGGTGTCTGGCTCTGATACCATTTGTAACAGTCCAAGCCTACTACCAGCAGATATTGTCCTATTTGGGCTTTCCCTTTCGGGCTTCCCTCAAGGTTTTTAAAATGCGTTTGCTAGGTAGAGATTTCTACATCTTTATAAATAATACTTCGTTCTCCTCCCCAACCAATGTAGGATCTCACACTGCCAGCTATCCCAATCTGCATTTTCCAGCAGCTATCTCCTCCTAAGAACAAGAACCTGCAATATTCTGACAAGTTATGGGGGAGACAAAATATATAACACAAAGTACCTGCTCTGAAAAACCCTCACGCAACGCATAATGTCGTGCCATTATTCCTGCAAGTGAAGTAAATTCTGTGACAACAGCAGTAGCAAGATCTGACATGGCAAGGGATGCAGCTTCCTGAACACTTTCAAGCAAATCTTCACTAATTCCCATCGCAAGGCTTAGTTTCACAACCGTTGCTTCCATACGTGTCATCTTGTCGAGCATTGATCCTAATTTTTCCTATTTTTAAAAGAAACATGGGCTATTAGAAGTAGAAGAACATGCATAGAGCCAAAAACTCATACATGATACTGCAAAACTAAAAACTCACATGAAACAGGATACCGCTCAGTTGATTTCTAAACTGAGAAAACCTTTTACTTGTATCTGTCTCGTAGAAAAATTTGGCATCTTCATAGCGAGCTCTGAAAAAGAAAAGAACAGGCCTTAACTATTAGATTTCTGCATCAATGACTGAGCTAGGGGAATAGAGAGTGTTTGACATCATTTACTTATAAAGTTATTTTATTGAAATAAGTTTTTAAGCAATAAGCACAATTATATAAACTTTATTCATCATTGAAAAAAATAGCTTCAAACATTTCAAGATATTATTCTATTGTTTTTCAATCAACCAAGGTCTTTGGGCTCGATAATGATAAGAACTCAAGACTCAAAAAACAGAATCTAGGGGCCTAAGTTCTCAGGCCAAGAACATAATAAGAAAGAGTGTGGACCCAGCAACCCTCGTGACACAATTAAGAGTTAAGAGTTTACTGAGTATTTGTACTCACTCCATGTTTTCCATGTTTTTCATGTAACTAAGGAGTTGGTCGAGGTTGGGAGTGGATCTAGAGTAGGTGTCAAACAGAACAACACCGTTTTCAACTATGTTAATGTTTTGAGTTGTGTTCACCGGGCCAAATATATTCAAACATTATTTTGGATTGGTAAATAAAACGTATTTATGTTCGGTATTGAATGCAAAAAATATTACCGTGTTTTATTTTTCCTTCTATATTTTCAGGACTTTAAGTCACGATCAAGCCGAAAATCACATCGTGACACATATTATGCACATGTCCAAATTACAACTCTGAAATAATCAGGAATATACGTATACAAAACTACCTTAGTACGGCTTCATTTCCTTTTCTTACAACTTTGTCATCAATTTCTCCATTTGCTACCTGAAAGAAAAATCCAAACCAAAAATGAACTAAAAAGAGTTTCACGTGGGGACGGTACAATATTGAGATCTACAGATTGACAAAGTGACTCTCACAGCAATGAAGTATGGCATCAGCTTTCCATTAGCATTTCTAAGTGAAAAATATTTCTGATGCTTCTGCATAACCTGATAGACAATTACAAAAAATTGAGACACCACTGCTAAACCAGCACAAACTGAGAAGAATAGTAGATACAAAAGAGAAGGGTTGTATGCTGCAAGAGAGATATCTAAATTTATTGTGAAAGGAGTTACCAAATTAGAGCGAACTTCCACGAGCAGGCATTGTTTCGTGTCGGGAAATATAATAAAACATAGCATAAAATTATGATACCAGAAGATCTTGTGGATGAACATTAAAACCTTACCATTGTTAGAAGATCTTCTGGAAGCTCCAAGAAGGAATCATTGAACTTTCCAAGTATTGAAACAGGTTTCTCGACAAGATTTACAACCTAACGCATTATCGTAAAGAGTTAAGAACATCCTTAGAATAATGAAATCAAGAACATCACAACTAATTACCTCATCAAGCAAGGCCTCATTAATAACAGTTTTCCCTTGGACGCTTTGTGCCAATATGGAAGACTGGTCCAAGATTTTTCTTTTGCGGTCCTATGAAAGCAAGTAGTCATTTAACTATTTAAAAAAAACACACATAAAAGGCCATGGGTAGACACAAACATATTTAGCAAATATGAGCATAGTTCAACTAGCATAAAACATGTATCCTTGACCACAAGGTCGAAGAATTGAATCATGCAACCCGCATATTGTTGTATTGAAAAAAAAAAAAAAAAAAAAGCATTGACATCTTTAAATCACTAAAAAATTGTGTTCATCACTTGGATCATGTAAATACATATTTATGGAGAAATAGTAATTTAGCTAATTGTAAACTAAAAAAATGCTTTAAAGGTCATAAATAAATTCTTAATCCCACCTCAACTTCAAGAATAATTTTAGCATCCTTCATTGCCTCCATAAAAGATTCCGCACTATCTACCTGTGACAGGTTCCAAAGCAATAATCAAATACTATAAATGCAAGAAAATATTACATGGAATCACCACTCAACCCAAAAGCTTAAGGATATATACTCACTGATCGAGATGGGCTTTTAATAGATATATTATTATTTAATTACTTCAAGGTTGGGCTTTTAAGTCATTTGAGCTGAAAGTTAACTTGATTTGGGCTAAGTCAAGGGCTTGTTCCTTGTACATATGGGAAATCCACTGGGAATGACAAATTGTTGAGTTATTACAATAACACAACTCACCTTAACAATAGCTGTAGAAGTGTTACGAAGACCATAGGAAGTGTTCCCACTAGATAGAAAAGTTTTGATGTCAATGTGCAGGTATACGGCAAGATAATATGCAAAATAAATAATTCTGAATGTAGAGTGCACATTTCCCGTTCGCCCTTACGACCTTGTCAAGATATCAACCATCGTTGAAGATAAAAAAACCAATTGATATTGGTAGCTCACATGTTGATCTTTATGGATATCAAATTAACATATGAGCCCACATGTGAAGAAAAAACCTCAGCTTAACCAAAGAGCTAAGGCTCATAAATTTTCTCATGCACGTCTCACATTTCACATGTAGACATCAAAGATGCAGGGAGAGATCATATATCACCTTAAAACACCAGCATATGAAAATGGAACAACTACATCACCGTGGAGCGCCAGAATCCAGCGAATAGGCCTGCTAAACACGACCTGCAGATCAACAGTAAAGGGCAGTGACATATCCAGAAAAAGTGAAGTACAGGATATTTAAAGAAATTAAAAATAATCTCTTTTTCATAAACATGAACATATGATGATTGACGAAACTTCAAAAGGCCTGATGAAGCATCCTAGAGAATCCAAACATTCATCTTGATCGAGTTTCAGATATGAACTAGTGCAAAAGGTTACCAACCCCAAATATTTGCCCAAATTCAGTGGCAAAGCAACTTGTCTCGTTTTTTTACCGACCAAACTAATGCCAAAAAAATTCTATAACTCGTCATGTATCTTGTACTAGACTATTGTTCTTGTTCCTATAAAAAGTGAAACACAAGATTCTTACTGCATAGTGTTTCCAATCTGGATCTTTAAATTAAAAAGATATAAGAGTTCCTTTCAACCTAGCTGGAACTGCACGTACCCAATAGTACTAAAGTGTTCATGTAACAACCCAAGCCCACCGCTAGTAGATATTGTCCTATTTGGGATTTCCCTTTCAGACTTCCCCTCAAGGTTTTTAAAACGCATATACTAGGGAGAGGTTTCCACATCCTCATAAAGAATGTTTCGTTCTCCTCCACAACTGATGTGGGATCTTGCAGTTCGTGATAAAGATACTTTTTGCCCTTGATTATACTTTTATTTTCAATCTTCAACATTTTAGCATCCAAAATCGTATGATTAAGTAGCATATTTTGGATACCACATGGGGAGCATTAACGAACTTAATCTCTTTTCCTTTCATCGTGCTCAAGTGCACATTGTATGGGTATGGAGATATTATGAAGAGAAATCACAAAATAAATTTCTGGCCACATTTCACTTAATTTTTTAACCAAAACACAAAAAAAAAAAAAAAAAGGACTGCAGCAGCTCGGTACTTCAAATGAAAAAGAGAAAGTGTCCATACCTGAGAATTCCATCTCATCGACTTTGGGAATGATATTTTAGCTATAATGGCAGGTAAATTTTCAGAACAAATCTGGAACAAAATAAAAGAATTATTAGAGTAAAATTAGAAGAGCCTACAAACCTACAGTTGTAATATATTACAAGTAAATATTCAATGTATTTACGAAATGATCAATACCATCAGGATCAACTATACTGAGATTTCGACAAAACTAACTTGGAGGCTAAGATGACTAACCATAACTTACTGACATACTCAAATTAACTATGGACATGCATTTAACATTTTTAAATTCACTGAAACATCATCACCTGAATTAGTGGGTACAAAACTGTTGATACTCCCAATAAAAGCAGTTTTTTTTAAGGGACACCTAACTTCTAAATGATAAATAATTCGCATAAAATACATAATGTTTAGGACTAAAGAAAATACAGAAGTAAATAGATAACAAAATGGGTCATAGGATAGCATTTCGAAGTGTTCATGGGTTTTGGATAGTGGTTCGTAGGAGGATGAATGGAATGAAGCTGAAAAGTAAAGCAAGATTTCCATGGATTAATGCGGTTAAAGATTTATCTTTAGAGTATTTGATTTGCAACAGACCAAAGTAGTCTCAAACAAAGATAATCTAATTGATTTAAAAAAAATTCTAAAAGTCAAATTTTCGCGTTCACAAACAAGACTGGTTTCTGATTATTCCTCCAATATAATCAATTATAGTTGAGAGGCATTTTTGCAAGTGTAAGATTTGTTTCTCGGAGCACTTCTTTTTCGAAGTACGTTGTAGGGAGGGTCATAATTACGTTTTTTAAAATATCAACGTAAAGTTTTCTCTCTTTTTTGGAAGAAAAAATATGCAGATAAGTATACTACATACAAAAGGAAGTGAGGAAAGAGGAAAATAACATTACAACCTCTAGAGCAAGCCGAGAAGACTCCATTACACGAGCATATACGTACTCTGTCTTTCCTGAAATATGAAAAAAAAAAAAAAAAAATCTTAAGGAACCATTATGACATCATGAACTTGAGACGAAAGAGGAGTGACTTTCCAATAGACTTCTAGCGTTTCGTGAAGAATGCATTCATTGTGGAAACATGAGAAAGTTATGTATCCTTACCCAGATTTGAGGAGAACAGGAAAAAGCAAGGCTCGTTGAGAACAGTTATTCAAGATTCAGTTTGTTTAACTCAAGGACACAAGGTACAACCTATAGAATATATCCCTTTCGAGTATGATCCGCCCAAGGTTTAGCTCGAAAGTATTTTATAAGCTATTATCTAAAAGCTTAGATATAACCAACTCAAACTCGATGATCAACTAAAAGAATGTAGAAGATAATACCCCTGTTCTTATTGTCAATGGATAAAATCTATTTGTAGGCGTGTAATAGAGGTTATTTGTATATTTTTATAAACTTGAAGTTTAGTTCACTTTTAATGGACAACCTTTTATCCTCGAACCCTGATCTCTGGAAAAAAAGAAAAAAAAAATTAAATTTTGTGTGCAAGAATATTTAAAGAGATAGAATAGCCTTTTGATCAGACACCTATTGAGTTTGGACAAAACACATGATATTGAAAAATGGGAATGTAATAAACAAGCCATCTAATTACAAAGGAAATTTTAAATTTTGAACCTTTAATGAAAACTTGGGATTTAAGTACTCAACTTTGGAGACTTACCATCGATCTTCCTGTACAACGATTCACCTGAGATGAAGTATCTGCGGCAAAAGCCCTCAGCAGCCTAACACAAAGTACTTGGTCTCAGTGAAGATATTATATTTCCATAAGTAACAAAACAAGTATCAATTTGATGTAGGCTTGTAGAATCCAATAAATTACTTTTTAAGAAATCAACACTTGAAACTAAGGACTCTGATTTGCCCACTAGCATGAGGGGAAGGTAAAATAAAATCAGCCCAAGCTTGAACAAGAGAGATTTAAGGGGGACATAACCCTACTCAGCAAACCGAATACGAGAAAAAGGGAGATATTTTTAACAATTTTTTTTTTCATCAAAAAGTGATTAAAAGCTGTTAATATTATAACCTTGAAAAGATCAAACATAACTCACTATACAAAAAGAAAAGAAGAAAAAATAAATAAATAGTTGAGAGCAATGTAACTAGAACATTTTCACTTTAACCTCGAAGTGGGAATTAACAAATAAGTGGGGTAAATATATTTGTTGAAATAATCAAATTTACCGTAACCCACCAGCTTAAGCTTTGGGGTTGATCAGTAATTTAACATTGGTATCAAAGCACAAGGTCCTATGTTCGAAACCCTCAATAAGATCTTTTTCTTCCTCATTACTATTGATTTCCACTATTGGACATTTTACAAATTTTGAATCCCACAAGTGAAGAGAAGTGTTGAAATAATTAAATTTTACTTAACCCATCCGCTTAACCTTTTAGATTGATCGATGATTTAACAATATAAAATATCCCCCGGTACAGAGTTTGTTCTGCAGTATCACAATATCACACATATCAAAATGTCAGGGAACCTACGTGCTCGACATCCCTAGAAGCCTTTTAACTGTATTTGTCATGCAAAATTTTGTACATAGGAATACATTAAATTCAAATATAATTTCAACCATATCCTTGAAAAAAATTTGAACAAGAAATGACTTTTTTTTTAATTTATAAACTTTTTTTTTTTTTTTTGCAGGAATGAACAATTACAGATGACTGGAGTTGGCCAAGTATGCATGAGTTATTTGCAGGATATCACAACCAAACATTGACGACCACAATAGCATTCTTATACAAGTCGTTGTTGGGATGAGGTTGTTCTTCCTCTATTTCAAGATTTAAAAGAACCTTGGTCACGAAGGAAGATCGACAGTCATGAAGTTCCGAATATATTTGGTTAAGGTGGAAGGTAGCTATGAAGTCTCCGAATAAATTTGGTTAAGGTGGAAGATTGATAGCTACGAGGCACACTGATTAATCAAACCTACCATAATAATAGAATGGCTCTCATAATTATCTTCCTCACATTTCTTCTTTTCGTATTAATTTTTCATAGAAGTACATGTGTCTTTTATAACATAAAAAGACTAACTAAATACCTAGATACTAGGTAAAAAAAAATCTAAATAATTCCATTGACACAAGGTAACAGTATCAATGAGATTACTCAAATAACTCCTAACTTAAGGCTAATCTTTTGACAGTTTCAAGAGAATTCTAAACTATGAGATGATAAATGGGGTTAACTAAAATGCCGACGAGATAGGTGGTTTCTTTAGTATAACTAAGGTTCCACGAGTACGGTTCTTTTTTTTCTCACAAAATCCTCAACATCTTGGCATCATTTACTCTAATACCCACCCAAAGAATTGCCATCGCACTTTTCTCAATAAGCTCAGCTCATAGTTTCAAGGGTATTCAACATGAGATGACAAATAGGGTTCACTGAAATGTTTGCTAGATAATGGTAGACCCCCCTCCCCTAAATAATCTGGATCTTTGGCAAAGTTTTCATACCACACACCTCAACAACGTAGAGGTTGCACATTCGTTCTCCTAAAAAAAAAATATTATATTGTTATGGCAATAAGATTGCAGTTGAATTCATCCTTGCGGAAAACAAAAATCTGAAATAGTAGAACTACAAGTTCGTTGAACGTAAAATGCATCGTCCATTTTATGAATGCATAACATACTTGGAAGTCTGATCATAACTTATTCAACGATGCAACTCGAGTAATCAAGTTCGTGAAAAAAATGGGAAACCTTTCGAGTTTGAAGTATCAAAATGATAAGAAAACATTCACCTTTGTAGGATTTCCTTTGTCGTCAAAAGCTTTTGAAACAGGGGGTCCTCTGACTTCAATCTCTTTCTCTACTTGTTTAGAGCACAGACTCTCAACTGTGACCTGGTAAGGTTGAAAATCGTTAAAGATCATGAACAGCAACCACCATGAGAAAAGCAAAACCAACTAAAAGCGCACCAAAATAGAAAACTAACCAACAACACACCAAAAGGCAAAGTAAACCCCCACCCGCCAACAAACTAAAAAATTAACTAGATGTTGTTTAAAGTGAATTCTAATCCTTCCTTCCTCATCCTGTGGTAGGTTAGAGTATGTTCAACAAGCATTTTGGATCCCTTTTAATAGGGAAAATTGATTACGACCTCTTCTCATTTCTAGGCACCTAGACAAGATATGGGCCAACATTGTTTTAACCTAACCAAATGAATTCTGGTTGCAAAAGAAATCTACAACATCATCACTTCTCAAAATTAACAAAAGATCGTCAAAACATTGCCAACATGCTAAAAGGGTGTGAAGTTATTGCTATACCACTAGCCTGCGGGGTGTGCCAAAAGCTTGCACATTACCATGGCTTAGCCTATGCTTTTCAAGTAACTGCAACATATATGTTTTGAGCTGCAATAAAAAGTCGTACCTAGTCAATATCAACTAGCAGAGAGATAAAATAATGCTTGTTAATAGCAACATTATAGTAATGATAGTTATTTCCCTGAAAACAACAATAAGAGAACGAATACTTTCTGGAGAATTAAGCTGTTACAGAAGGAAAAGGAAATTGCCATAACACACTTCGAGCTCTACTACTTTAGAAACAATAAAATATAGAGTATTAAATGATATAAATATGAAGAAAATACCAACAGAAATAAAATATTGGGTTTGATATAGTGGATAGAAATAATAAAATATAGCCATCTGGATCAACTTAAAGAGTAACTTCTCAACTTCCGAGTAATGGTGCTAAGTGTCACGGTCATGCTTGCCCAAGAAGTGTTGCATGTGACTGCGTGTCAAATATCCCGGTCATACTTGTCCAGGAAGTGTTGTTCATGGCCGCATGCCAATTTCAAACACTTATTACTTGCTTTCATTTTAGATAAGCCTTTATTATTCTTGTTGTGTCAATATGGGGGTGTATGACTCGTCATCAAAATCATATCTACACTCGCCAGAGTTAAAATGCCCCAAAATGTACTAGGAACATGTGACTAGTTGTCAATTCTTCCTACCCAGGTTATACGCTACCAAAGTTGTGGTTGTTTCTTATTTGCTTTTAGTTTATAACATTAATTTATTTGCTTTTAGTTTATAACATTAATTTTTTTTCAAATTGTTTTCGATGCATTTCCTCGCTCATGTTTTCTAAAACATTTCTCTCAAACATGACCTGAGGCTCGATCTTACGTCAAGGTTGTCCACAAAGTCCACCTTCCATACGATTGACTTGTTCGCTAGGTTAGAACAAATATCGCACCATCATTGTCCCGCTGCAACAAGAGTACAATTGTGACACCAAGTAGGTCCGGTTATTTATAAGTGTTGATGGAATTTTAAAAATCAAGAGGGATGACAAAATAGCATAGTGTATCATTCGCATCTATATACATATTCCATCAACAATTTGTGACGTTTATCATCTTTGGTCCGCATTTTTCTGATCACTGAGGGTCTAAACATGCATGTATTGCAGATACTAGTGTAATATTGTCGGAAATTCTGCTAGGCCTGGGTTCTCAACAATTTCTCTACTACTGCATTTTCATGAAACGAAAGAAATACAAACAGGAAAGAACCGTGAGTTTGCTTATTTAAATGAGGATGTTCCTTTTCTTTCCTCATAGTAACTTTCTAACTGTCCATTTTCTATTGTTCCTAATAAAAGCACCATGCCGCACCAATTAATAAACAAAGAAGTTTTTTAATCCACATCAAGCAGGGAAGTTCCAAAATTATCTTCTTTTAAAATGAAACAATTACAAAAAGGAGTAAGGCTAAGCTGATAGTTACAAAAAACACTGACGCTCATTAAGAGAAAATAAACCTAGACAAATCCCAAAGATACTCCCCAGACCCTCCACCCCACGAAAAAATTTACAGTTTCTCTCAGGCTAAATATACCACAAGGCAAAATGCAAAACTAACAAAAAAAAAAAAAAAAAAAACCTTCCTTTA